GTAAATGCGAATAAGTCCATGCATCGGCCCTTTAAGAGGAACACCTGGGACTCCAGCAGCCTCCGTCTCACTCAGCCACAACCCAAGCAGGTTTTTACAGCCAGAAGTTATGGGGGCTTCTCTTCCCGGTACTAGAACCCTGGGTTGGGGGGGGCTGGTGTGGAGCTGGGAACCCTCGCTCCTCAGGGGGGACCTCTGCAGCTGAGGTATCCCTCCTGATTTTTATCTACCACATGTGGGTGTGGGACCAGCCCATTTTGTGTCTCCACCCCACCTACTAGTCTCAGTGCGGCTTCTTCTGTATATTCTTAGTTGTAGGACTTCTGTTCAGCTAGATTTGAGACAGTTCTGAATGATATTTGTTCTGTAGTTTAGTTGTAGTTTTGATGTGGTTGTGGATTTGAGCACCACATTTAACTACACCACCATCTTTTCCAGATAGATTATAATATTAATATTGATGGTCAAATGTATTGGGAAGTTGAGTTAAAGGCCTCTTATCCTCACCCTACACTAGCTCTAAATGTTAGGTATATTCATGTTGATAAAGCAAATAGTGCTTTAGTTGTTATATAAATGCCACACCAACCAAATGCAGATCTGATTTTCACTTAAGGGACCCATGGCCAAAGACCATGGGGTGGCCTGTTGTATAACAAAGAATTGTCTGTGCTTTCACCTGGTTTCCTGGGATGTAACCACTAAGCTCTTGGAATTTCCCAAGTGATTGAAGTGTCTTTGGAACTTAGGGTGGTCTCTGACAGTTTATGTTAATGAGGTGACTCTTGGTGGGGAGTGGCTAAATGAGTCATGCTAATGAGCTGACTCAGGATGGGGACAGGCCAGGCAAGAAAGACCACGTGATTATGGGGTTGGGGCTTTGGTTCACATGATATCAGTCCTACCTCCAGGGAGGCAGGGAGGAGACAGGGGCTGGAGATTGAGTTTAATCATGTGGCCAATCAATCATGCGTATGTAATAAGACCGTAATGAAACTCTGGCCACCAAAGCTCAGTGGAGCTTCCTGGTTGGGGAACACATTAATGTGCCAGAGGGTAAGCATCCTGATTCCACAGGGAGAGAACACAGAAGCTCTGAGTTCCTCCCAGAACTCTCCATATATGTCTTGTGAAAATGAAGAGAATGAGTGCTCTTTTATTAGAGAGTGTGCCCTTAAGCCTATGGAGTCTGCACTAACTCCAGGTGGCTAGAGTCAGAGCTGAATTCAATCCACTACCCTCTGGCCCTTGGCCCAGGTTCCCCTATAGAGAAAGCATCCTATTTGCATGAACATTTAGTATAGCAATTCTATCATAGATGCAGCAATCGCATCAGTGTGAGTCTGCCTGACATTTGAAGGAGCCAGTACAGACTAGGGGTAGATGTAAAGAAACAATTGATCTGGCTTATAAAGCCTTCTCCTGTGTCTTCACATCTCTGTTCTGATTTGATGACTTATTCCCCCCTTGATCTGCCTCCGTTTACATCTTATGATCAACTTGTGCCAAACTACTTAGCACAGAAATTAGCTAATCCAGTTCTTCCCCAGGCCAGTCACTTTCTACTGTTATTACATTCTGAGGAGGCTTTAACTCAATTCCCAATATATTTAATTACCCAGGTCAGTATTACCACACAGTATTATCAGTGTTGTTTACATAAGGAAGTTGAACTGTACGGTTACACCAGTGTTACACCTTATCCTAGTTTGATGGTAGTTACAACTGAGTTTCACTTCAGAACAAGTCTGTAAGAATTGCAGAGGTATTTTCTATGCCTTCCCAATGGAATCACACTTTGCCCATATACCAAATATTATTACGGACGGGCCTCATTACACGTGGCCATGATTTGCAGTTGTTGTCATTTCCAGGTTCCAAGTCAGTGGGAGGCAAAGCCAGCTGGTACTGAGGACCCATTTCCATTGTGTGCTGTTAGGTAGCAGGGCCCACCTCCTGCCTGTGGGAGGGCACAGGTGTTATTCAGGATAGTTCCTGTCCCTGCTAATTGTACTTTACGGTATGTCTTCTTCTGACCTATTCTCAGTGCAAGGGCAGTCATCAGTGTAAAACACAAGTGTCTTCGAGAACTGCCATAGGTTCACAGGTCCATAACATTCCCGTAGGAGTAGCTCTTTGAGCCTCCGCAGCCGGCATGGAGGGTCACTGCCCCATGGCTACTTTGGCCTCAATCAGCTTAGGATAGTCAGAGGCCCTGTTAGGCAAGGATACAAACCCTTTCCCAGTGCTGTCCCTGGCATTGTCCAGCGCTGGCTGTTGCCTTGGCCTGACCCAGGCTGACTCCTACTTTTGCTTTCTTTTGGAAGAGAGTTCCTTCTAGCCTGCCTGTTCCAGTTAATAAATGTATTTCCTCAGAAGGCCTCTCCTCCTTAAGAGCACATCCAGTTTGTTCCACACGGGTAACCTGGTTCCCCAGAAGCTCTTTTCTGTCTCATGCGCCAATGTTGCTTAACCCGCCAAGCACGTTGTTGTCACTGTGGACTAAAGGCCGAGTGCGGTTAGGATGCATGTTTACACCCAGAAATGGAAGGTCTCCATGTAGGGTTAGGTAAGTGGTAGTCACGCCTCAGTGTAATTTATTTTGAGGACGCCATAGGCCTCCCATAGCCTTCCTCATCTCAAGATGGGGCTGCGCCCAGGAAACTTGGACATATCATACGATGCTTCCTGTTTTAATCCGGTAACGAGTGAGTTCTTTTCTGTTCTGTGTAACAGCTTTCTCTCCACAAGAGCAGGCTTGTGTGCCTTTCTGCAGTAGCACACTCAACTCAGGGAACTCTCTGAGTATTCGATTATCAAGATTTACAGTTACAGAGTGAGTAGTCTACCAGGAGTTGTAATCACACAGTCCAAAGACCCTGTAGGGAGCAGTTCCCAGAGATTCCTTCCCAAACGACATCCTTCGTAATACGTGCAACCTAAAGTCAAAAGACACTGGCACATTCCTGGAGCTCCCTTTAGTCGTCAGCACTTACTCCAGCTCATCATATCCTGAGACGAAAGTGCTCCTCAGAGCGATGCCGCTCAGGTTTGCAGGCTTCCCTTCCCTTTCGTCAGGTTCCAAAGCAGGTGCAGTCACGCAAGCATGTGGCCTCCCCGCTTCAGGCTCGGGTACAGTCGTGCTGCAGACAGCACTGACCTCTTGTCCTGAGCCTTTCTCCAGGCACCAGCGTAATGGTGGAGTGCCCATTTCTGTTGCACACCCACTTATTCACCCCTTCACCCCAGCTACTAGATTTCCTTCTTTCCATTTGTCATTGATTTTTACTAAACTTTTCCACCTTTGGAGCAAACATAGGGTTTGGCCACTGTGCTTGTCCAGGTTGCCAGCAGCCCCTCCCACTCACATAGGGCGGGGTGACATAGGTCCAAAATGGGTGGGTTAGTCCTTCCACTCAATGTGGCTGCATTCACTGGCAACCCAATTTAGCCAGATAGGGTGTAGGTGCAACCTGCCCCACCAGGCCCCCAGGAATTCTGACATAAAGGTTTAAAGATATAGTTACATTTTCTTGCTTAGGAATCATCCCTGCTCTGGCACTTGTAGCTGCATCAGGTACGAAAAAAGTACGTCGAGATGATGTGGAAAAGAATTGTATAGTCCCACCAGCAACCTCTCCTACCTCCTCTCCCCAGATCCCCCAGAAAAGCAGAGGACTCTATCCAGTAGGGACCCTGCCTTGACCCCCTCATGTTGAGTGGGTGCACACGCTAGTGAAGTGTAACCAGTCCTCGTGCTTTTCTCTCTCCCTATTTTGGACAACATGCGTTTCAATTGCCTCTTCCCATCCTCAGAGCCACCACTCTGAGCACATATGCAACATGACATGTCCACTAGGCGCGATGCCTCGCGGCCCACTATTGGAACTGAGGGCTGTTCACTATAGTATTTCACAGCATTTCAAGCATTTCCATCTACAACCAGGTGTGTGAAACCACTTCAACGTGCCCCTTAAACTCCCACAGTGATTTCCTTAGGGTTATGCCCCATATGGATAGCTCTTTAATAGCCCGGTTTTTCACAGCCCGTCTGCCAGGCCAGTGACCACTGCCCATGGGTCAGTAAGCACCCAAACATGGGGCCTTTTATCATTCAGTTCTTCCATCACCATCCCTGCGAAAGCACAGCACGCGGCTCAGCCCACCGCGCTTGTTTGCTCTTGCATCAGTCAGCCGGAGCCTCCACACAAGGCGCATTCTGTCCCCTGAGCAAGGGCCACAATAGTCCCAGAAGGAGCTTCTTGTTGGTCAGTAGAGAGCTGGTCACCGGCCACCACCTGCTGGCTCCTGAGATCCTTCCAAAGGCTCGGCCCTGCGGAAAAGGGGCCGCCTGCTCTCGTGCACCTCCCTGCAGTCCCCAAGTCCCATGTTCCTGGGGAAAGCATTTCGGTTTTAATGAGGAGTTCTTTGGAGTCACGGCCCTCTTTATCAGTGTTTCTCTGACATCACCCAGGATGCAATGGGCATTTCAGGTTTCGGGATTATTTTTTGTCCATCAGTCATAGAGGTGGTTTCGATCAGCACCCAATAGCAAGCTAGTGATTGTCTCCCAAATGGCACATGTCGTACACTACATCTGGAAAGCTTCCAGTCCAAAAATACCAGCAATTGCCACTGGGTGCCACTCATAGGCTTTTGCCATAAGCCCTTCGGTTGGGTCCGCACACGGCAACTGTACAGAGAATGGTCCCCCTATTTGAATGTCACTGATTAAAGTGGTCATCTCATTTTCCACCGAGAATGCGATGCTGTTTCAAATTAGCAACTGATGTGGGCTCCTTTACTGCACAAAGACCCTCCTGCTTCTCTCAGGCCTGTATGTCACCCCGACCATCAGCTCCTACCGCATGTGTACACATGCACACACATGGCGCACACAGCCTTGTCCAGTGCAGGGAATATGCCCCAGGCTCTGTCGAGCCTTTCCCCTCCCCTAATGGTGTGGTCTGGCCTGCTCCCCTCCCCGATTCTCTCTGCAGCCAGATTTACTGCTACGGGCCGCTGCTGCACCAAGTTCAGATGGCCAAGCTCTACAAAGATGACAAGGAGTTCGTGGACATGCCACTGTCCTCAGCTCCGGGTGAGGCACCTGGGGACCCCACCTTCTCCTCAATCTTCCACCAAAGATGGCAGGGGCAAGACCAGGCAGAGAGGGGCCCGATCAGGGAAGGGCTCATGGGGCTCGACGGGTGCCTCCCTGCTGCCTGCTCCCCAGACCAAGTCCTGAAGCGCTTCGACCAGCTGGCCAACACCTACAACCACAGCATCCCCCGGCAGCAGCTGCAGGTGTTCCTCAGAGATCACTTCCAGGTCGTGGGGCAGGAGCTGCAGCCCTGGATCCCTGGGGACTGGAAAGACAGGTACAGCCCTGGACAAGGTACAGGAAAGGGCCCTTCAAACAGGGCCGCCCCTGAACCGTGAAGGCCCGTGTCTTTCCAGCCCCCAGTTCCTACAGAAGATCTCGGACTCCAAGCTACGAGTCTGGGCAAAGCAGCTGCACCAGCTCTGGAAGGAGCTGGGAAAGAAGGTATCAGTGCCGGGGCCTGACCAAGGGGAATGGAGCTGGGAGGGATGCGCCAGCTAGGTGCTCACCCTGCCCAGGAGCACAGACTGGGATGCATTTCCTGGAACACAGCCTCCCAGTCCCCTTGTCCTGGAACAGAAACCCTCTAGAAAGAATTTCACAGAAGGAGCAGGGGAGTATCTGCTTCTAACTCCTCCCCTCCTCCATGAAGCCCTCCCAGCATTCCCCCAGGCAAACCTCCACCTCCAGGCTGCCCACTCCTGCTCTAACAGCGCTTGGTAACTGTTCACTCCTGCTGGGCTCTTCCCCGAGCTCCTCGGGCCACGCCTCTGCACAGGAATGACCATGGCTACTGCTCGGTGTGGCCCAGCCCTGTGATCAGCACAGCTCAGCTGTTGGCACTTTCTCTCCTTTGTCTGAGGCTCAGACAGGGCAGTGATTTGCCCAAGGCTGCACAGCACCTGTCCTCCCACCCAGCCCCCAGGGCCCTGGCACCCACAGGCAGAGCAGTGCTCCGGGCTCCTCTGCTAGTGTATGCTGCTTGCTCAGCCAGCCCCCGGGAACCTGAGCCTCATTCCACTGCTCCCCACAAGGCCTCTCCCACCAAAACCACACTCACTCATACAGAACTAGCAGGAAGGAGCAGAGGGAAGGAAGCACCTGGGGCGGACACCCAGCAAGCCCCACTCTGGCCCGACCTTGCTCTCCCTCAGCCACGTTCACTCACGTCCACCCCACTGGGGAAACGGTTCTGGGCCAGAGAATGTGGAGCCCTCAGTCTCTGGGCCTGGCTTGGTGGTGGTAGCAGAGATTCGGGGGGCAAGGGGAGCTGGAGGAAATGACCCCCCACCTGGGTCCTGAGAGTGGCCACTGCTTGGTGAGCACCTGCTGGTGCCAGGCAAGGGGTCAGGGCTCCTTCACACCACCGAGCACAGCAGGGCTGCAGGAGCCCGCACGTGGGGGTGAGCAGGCCGGGCTCCCAGCAGCCAGACTTGACTGAGGCCACAGGGCTGCGCAGCAGCAGAGCAGAGCCCAAGCCCAGGCTGCCTGGCTCCAAAGCCCACAGCTGCCAGGGCCTCTACCGCCCCAGCCTCTTCCAGCCTCCAGCCTGGGGGAAGGGGCGTGGGGTCTAGGCTCCCTGTGCCGTCCCCTGGGTCCAGGTGAAGCCAGAGGTCCTCCAGCACCCTGAGCGGTTCTCCCTGATCTACTCACGGCACCCCTTCATTGTGCCTGGCGGGCGCTTTCGCGAGTTCTACTACTGGTGAGCGGCCAGGAGCTGCGGGGGTGGGAGTGGTGGGGAGCCCAGAGCCTGCGGGGTGGCCTGAGCAGGGTGAGATACCCTGAGGTGATGTGGCCTGGGCATGCAGGGCAGAGGGCGGGTGGTGGGATGCCCGGCTGGGATACTGAGGGACCCTTCCCCCAGGGACTCCTACTGGGTGGTGGAGGGTCTGCTCCTCTCTGAGATGCCCGAGACGGTGAAGGGCATGCTGCAGAACTTCCTGGACCTGGTGAAAACGTAAGCAGGGGCCTGGCACCTCAAGGCCGGGGGGGAGGACAAGCAGGTGCCACGGCTTGGAGCCGGATCTGCCTTGGCCCTGGGGGATGGGCGGGGGCGTCAGCAGGCCTCCTTCTTGGCAGCTATGGACACATCCCCAATGGGGCCCGCGTGTACTACCTGCAGCGCAGCCAGCCCCCGCTCCTCACCCTCATGATGGACCGCTACGTGGCTTACACCAGCGACACCGCCTTCCTACGGTGGGCGGCCCCTCCCATGCTGCCCGCAGGCTCCCCAGACCTGAGACCTCCCAGGGCGGGAATAGGGGGGTGTGGCTGGGCTGAGGTGGTGCCTGGCTCTACCCCAGGGACAACATTGGGACCCTAGCCTTGGAATTGGACTTCTGGACTGAGAACAGGAACGTCTCTGTGAGCTTGGGGGGAAAGAGCTACGTCCTGAATCGCTATTATGTCCCTTTTGGGGGACCCAGGTGAGGAACTGTGGGGATAGCCTCTCAATCTCTTGTCTATTCACCTGGTTCAGGGGTCACCAGGCCCCTGGGCAGGAGGGCAGGGGACCTAGGTCCACCTCTCTGATGGTGAGACTGGGGATGGGGGCTTGTGTTTTAAGAAAGGAAACCTGGTCTGTGCTCTGAGGAGAGGGGGCCTGCATCGCCCTCTCTCAAGTCCATGCCACTTGGCCAGGCCTTCTGAAGACACCATTGTGTTTGCAGCAGTGATTGCCCCAAACTGGGAGAGGGGCTGGCAAGTCCAGCAGGATGCCCTGTGTCTGCCTCCACCCCCACAGAGTTCCAGGGCCTACTCTGGGCTGTCCCTGAGGCAGCAGAGACCCCAAAGGACAAAGGGAGTAGGCAGGACAGGCCTGTGACTGGGGACATGGACCTCTAGAGGGGAGCAGAATTCAGTCCTGGCAAGGGGAGAGGAAAGCCCACTACAGGAGGCCACAGAGGAGGGNCCCACCTCTCTGATGAGACTGGCTGCCACGGGAAATACAGGGCTGTGGGGCCCAAGGTCTGCTGAGTCATCATGGCTCAGGCTCCAGCTTTGGCACAGAGGGCTCAGAGCCTCCCACTCTCCTCTTGCCAGGCCAGAGTCTTACAGCAAAGATGCCGAACTGGCAGGCACCGTGCCGCCAGGTGAGCAGCAGCAGCGTGAGGGGTCAGGTGGGCCTGGGAGCCTGCGGTTGTGCCAGGCCTGCTCCTCTGTCTGCTGCCATTTCTCCTCACAGGCGACCGGGAGGCTCTCTGGGCTGAGCTCAAGGCTGGGGCTGAGTCTGGTTGGGACTTCTCTTCACGCTGGGTCTTCGGAGCCCCAAACCCCCATTCGCTCAGCGGCATCCGAACCAGCAAACTTGTGCCTGTTGACCTCAATGCCTTCCTATGTCAGGCAGAGGAGCTAATGAGCAACTTCTACACCAGCTTGGGTGAGCGGCCCGGGAGGGAAGGAAGGGGGTGCTTGTCCAGCTTGAGTCCCTGCCTCAGCCTTGGCAAGAGAGCTGGAGGTAGGACCTTGGGTGAAGGGTTTCCAGCTTCTCAGCCTGCTCCATACCTCACCCCTTGTGCAGCCGGGGCAGGAGTACAAATGACGCCCACTCAGATCTTCACTCCCCTCCTTTTCGCACTAGAAAGGCCTTCTAGGGCCTATGAGAGGACACCTTAGTCCACACATCCAAACTCCAACCCCTCTCCCCAAACTGCTGCCCTTTGGGCCTGCAGAGCTAGGGAATCCATACGGCCAGTGCCCTCCCAAGGATGAGCCCAGGGAACGGGACAGTGCAGGTCAGGGGAGCCATACAGGGCCATCTGCTCAGGGAATTCCAAGTCCTAGAGGTCTGAAATGTGATGGGCTCCAGGTAGGCAGTCCTCTTGGCCCTTGGGGATCACAACAGAAAGAGGCCTCTGGAAGCTCATGGGGCCCCAGGGCAGGACCTGGTAGCTCAGCCTAAAGGCAGTATTGCCCCAGGGAATGACACTGAAGCCACAAAGTACAGGAACCTGCGGGACCAGCGCTTGGCAGCCATGAAGGCTCTCCTTTGGGATGAGAAGAAGGGTGCCTGGTTTGACTATGACCTTGAAAACCAAAAGAAGAACCAAGAGTTTTACCCATCCAACCTTGCTCCCCTCTGGGCCGGCTGCTTCTCTGACCCAGGTGTCGTGGACAAGGCCCTGAAGTACCTGGAGGTGAGGGGGCAGCAGGGCAGGCTGGTGCACTGGGGCAGCTCCACTGGCTTTCTCCCTGCCCCTGAGCAGTGATCTCTGGCAAGGGGCAGCCACTCTCTCTTGTGGCTTAGCCTGAGGGTCCCGCTGCAGCCACCAGGGGGCAGCTGAGAGCCAAGAGGGGAAGGCCCAAGAAAGGGACATCTGGCTTGAGCAGGGCCCAGCCTCCTGGCTCCCCACCCAGCCCCACCCACAGTCACACTGATGTCTGGAACATTCCAGGACAGCCAGATCCTGACCTACCAACATGGGATCCCAACCTCTCTCAGGAAGACGGGCCAGCAGTGGGACTTCCCCAATGCCTGGGCCCCCCTACAGGACCTGGTCATCAGAGGTAGGAGGCAGGATGGGCATGTCCCAGGGCCTCACCCCGTGGAGGTACAGAGTGGGCCTCCCTAGTACTGGGGAGGTGTGAACAAAGGATGTGGGGTCTTTCTCTGACTCCCCTGTTCTCTCAGCCTCCCAGTCAGCAAGCATTTGCGTCCACGGCCACCTGGTAGGGGACTCAGACCTCCTCTCCCTCCAAACCCAGGCCCTGGATCAGAGCAGGTTCGCCTGTGGTTCCAGGAAGAAGGTCGTAGGGTCCCGCCTCTTTCCCACCTTCAGAAGCATTAGCTCAGGCCCCGGCTCCCCCTCGGATGGGGGCTCTGGAGATTCAGGGTCCTGCCTTGGGGCGGGGTCTAGGTCTGGCCAAGTCGCCTTCACCCAGGACCCAGGAAGTGGCTTTCCAGCTGGCGCAGAATTGGATCCAAACCAACTTTGATGTCTACTCCCAGAAGTCAGCCATGTTCGAGAAGGTGAGCTGGCCCTGAGCCCAGTCCCCCCAGTTGGCCTCCCCAAGGTGAGGTGAGGAATTGTCAGGCTTGCAAAGCCCAGGCCCAGGGGTGGTGGCGGCACCCAGTGGCTACTCCTGGGCACTGCAGAGGTAAGAGACAGGCCAGAGCAGCCTCTCCCAAAGGATCTCCCATTTCCTGCTCCCCCTGGAGGCTGGGTCAGGGGGTGGGGATAGTGCTGACCTTAGGCTTGTCCTCTTGTCCCCAGTATGACATCAGCAACGGAGGACAGCCAGGTGGTGGAGGGGAGTATGAAGTTCAGGTGAGTGGGCCAACATCCTACAGGGAACTGTGGGGCTCTGCTGTCCCCACAGCTGACCATGACCTTCCCTCTCTAGGCCTCAGTTCTCCCATGGGTGTGGGTCCGCAGGGAGGAGCCAGACTGGTCCTCCTTGGTCCCCTGGGCTAGGCAGGGCCAGTGCCTCTGGGTAGAGATCCCACACGTGCCTAAAAGGACTTGAGGGCCTTCCCCAGAGGGCTTGCCCACAGGCCATGCCTCTCTCCAGAAAGGGTTTGGCTGGACCAATGGAGTGGTCCTGATGCTCCTGGACCGTTATGGTGACCGGCTGAGCTCAGGAGCCCAGACAGCTTTCCTGCAGCCCCACTGCCTCATAGCTGCCCTTCTGCTCAGCCTCCTGCCACAGTGATGGGCCCCACTGCCCCATCTGCCTCAGTTCCTCCTCCAGCTCCAGCTCCTGCCTCATTAAACCTGTGCATGTGTCCCTACCTTCTTCTGCCTCGTCATTCTCCATCCCTGGAGACCTCATGCCCTTCTGTGCCTCCTGCCAGTCCTCAGTCGTCCTGGAGGAGGGCAGGTTAGTGACCTGGAGGTCATGGGTTGGGCCCTGGGTCCCTCCTGGAACTTTTAATAAGGTGGAAATCCTACTCTGTGGGGAAAACCTAACCCTCCTACCCCGTGTACCTCAGCCCAGTGCCCCACACAACTTGGCCTTCCAGAATCACACTCCAAATGCTTTATTGTTCTGCTGAGATGCTTACAAATACTGAAAGCCACCCAGCCTGGCCCCCGCACCCAC